GAGGAGCTTGCCAAGCCACTCTCCATCATTTATCAGCAGTCCCGGTTAACAGGGAAGGTCCCAGAAGACTGGAGGCTTGACAGTGTGATGCCCATCTACAAGAAGGGACGGAAGGAGGATCCGGGGAACTACCAACCTGTCAGCCTGACCTCCTGTGCTGGGGTAGGTTATGGAGTGGTTCATCTTGAGGGTGCTCACAGGCCATGTGAAGGACAACCAAGGGATCAGGCCCAGGCAGCATGGGTTCACGAAAGGCAGGTCCTGCTTGACCAACCTGATCTCCTTCTACGACCAGGTGACCTGCCTAGCGGATGAGGGGAAGGCTGTGGACGTTGTCTACCTGGACTTTAGTAAAGCCATTGACAGCATCTCCCACAGCATTCTCCTAGAGAAGCTGGCAGATTATGGCTTAGACAGGTGTACTGTTTGCTGGGTGAAAAACTGGCTGGATGGCCAAGCTCAGAGAGTTGTGAATGACGTTAAATCCAGCTGGCAGCCTGTCACAAGTGGTGTTCGCAGGGCTCAGTTTTGGGGTCAGTCTTGTTCAATATCTTTATTGATGATCTGGATGGGGAGCTCGAGTGCTGCCTCAGTCAGTCTGGCAGATGACACCAAGCTGGGTGGGAGTGTTGATCTGCTGGAGGGTAGGAGGGCTCTGCAGAGGGATCTGGACAGGCTAGATCGATGGGCAGAGGTCAACTGTATGAGGTTTAACAAGGCCAAGTGCCAAGTCCTGCACTTAGGTCACAACAACCCCATGCAACGGTACAGGCTTGGGTAGGAGTGGCTGGAAAGCTGTCTGGTAGAAAAGGATCTGGGGGTGCAGGTTGACAGCCAGCTGTGTGCCCAGGTGGCCAAGAAGGCCAACAGCATCCTGGCCTGTATCAGAAATCGTGTGGCCAGCAGGAGTAGGGAAGTGACTGTACCCTTGTACTCGGTACTGGTGAGGCTGCACCTCGAATCCTGTGTTCAGTTTTGGGCCCCTCACTACAAGGACACTGAGTTGCTGAAGCATGTCCAGAGAAGGGCAACGAAGCTGGTGAGGGGTCTGGAGCACAAGTCTTCTGAGGAGCGGCTGAGGGAACTGGGGTTGTTCAGTCTGGAGATGCTGCATCCTTGGAAACACTCCAGGTCAGGTTGGATGGGGCTCTGAGCAACCTGATCTAGTTGAAGATGTCCCTGCTCATTGCAGGGGGGTTGGACGAGATGACTTTTTCAACCCAAGCTATTCTAGGATTCTATGAAAGGGGAGGAGAGGCAGCCATTAACTGTCTTGGGGTCTGACCATTGCAGGATGGCAAGAAGGTGCATAGCTTACACAGGCTTCTGGGCGAGTACATGTTATGGCCACTGCCAAACAGGCAAAGAGTATGCAGGATAGTGGAAGAGCTGGTGAACGAGCTTATCTATGTCTGCCAAACCCTTGCCGGCAATGACTTCATGCCACAACCAGCTGTCAGGTTGGGTGGCTTCCTGGAAGGCTGGAATGCCTGTGACGAAGACCTTGTCTATCGCCTGTTTGTGCCGCTGAAGCCACCCCCTGGGCACTCCTTCCACCTCGAGCTGGGCACCGAAGGGGAGACACTAGTGAGGAACTCCTGCCTGCATGTGGAACTGGAGTGCATGTGCACAAGGGAGCAGTGGCTGGGGAACATGTTCTGCTTCCTCCACCACCCTGAGGATGAGCTGATGCGCAGTCAGGAATCCAGCCTCCTACAAACCCTCTGCACCAGCTCATACCTCAATGTGCAGAAAACCACCTTCTGGCTCCAAGAGTTGATGACAGCAGCCTGCGTTGCTGCACCTCCTGCGGCCGTGGTGAAGCTAACGGTGCTGCCCTCCACACGCTTCTGCAAGCTCAAGCTGACCAAAGCCTTTGAGAGACCCTTTATCATTGAGCTGATCTTGGCGGTGCAGCAAGGCAACTCGGACACATTTGTGAGGATGGAGTAGGCAAAGGTCAGTGCTGCCAGTAGTGTGAAGTGGCTGAAGAGAAAGAGATACAAAACTGAGAGCGTGAGGCGGCCAAAGAGACTGCTGCAGGAGATAGAAAGGAAAGGGAAAACCAGGTGCAGAAATGTGATGCTGCAGATTGTCTCCTTAGCATAACAGCTGGTGATGACTGCAGTTTCTGCAAAGATGGCATTCATCCTTCCTTCCCGTTGCACCATCATGTCCCAGCTGGCAATTTCATAGGAGTCTCAGCATTTCCATGTGAGAAGCACCACTGATGTGCCTCCATGTGTTCACTGAGGCTGGGGTGGAGAACTTGCCTGTCCCAGACACTGCCTGGGGAGCTGGAGCCCTAGGAATGAGCATGTTGGACATAGGGAAAACACTACTCAATCGGCACTGGTAAATGCTCCTGCACATTTTCTCCACAGGCAAATCACACTCTGGGGAGTCACACACGATGCACCTGAAGACGCTGTTGCCAGGAGGCTTGCGATAGTGACTGCATTACCAACTGTTCAGCGACCACCCACTGTCTTTGAGAAACTCCATTCCCTCCAGTATATTACTGCTAAGGATACCAATAAATGTCTCTCTGCCAGTGACCGTCTATGCAACACTTTGTCAGGGAATGTTTGCTCTGGGCGCTCAGTGTTCAGCGGTCCCAGAGTCAGGGAGCATTTTGTGGAAGAGCTGATGAAGTGGGCTCTGGTATCACTGCTTCTGTAACTAAGGCTCCCCGGTCTGTTTGTTGTCCTGTGTCGGGGCAATGAGAATAACTCACCACCCTCCATAGCTCTGCTTGTTGGTCTGTGGTGTGCCAGGCTCAGGTGGGAAAGGAGGTTGCGCTCCCTTCTTTGTGTGTGGAGCTGCATACGCAATCCCTCACTACATAGTGGCAGTGGGAGTCCAACTCCCTTGGACCGCAGGGGTTCACAGCATCCCAGAACCCCGAGGTTGTTTCCCCTGGGGCAATATTAGCCAGCACCAGGGCCCTTGAAGATCTGGCCCTGAGACTGAGGCAACCCACAGCAATGGGTTTGCCCACCTTGTTTTAGCTGCAGTGCTTTTGTAGGTGGAAAGCCATGTAGGAGAGGCCAGCACTGGCGCATCTGGGGATGTGGCAGTGCTAATCCGTGGGATCTAATGTGAGAGCCCATCTAGCTCACAGAGCTCTGCCAAGCACATCTGGGAAGGGAAAGCCTCCTCCTCTTGTGCCTTCTGGTCAGTTGTCCAATTGCCAGCTAATGGTGCTGCCCCCCACCCGCTTCTGCAAGCTCAGGTTGACCAAGAACTTCAAGAGACCCCTCTCCATTGAGCTGAAGTTTGGAGTGCAGCAAGGTACCTTCCTGAGCATCAGGAAGGCAGAGGTTGGTTTTACGAGCAGCTTGAGGTGGCTGGAGAGGTGTACAGTGGCAGAGTTGCAGTTCTTCAGGCCCATGGACAGGCATGTCCTGCATGACAGCTTCCACCTCAAGTGCCTGCAGCTCTCCACCTGGATCCTGGTGGGCACAGGATTTTCCACCCATGTCCTGAAGGCCACTGTGATGCACCTGCGGCCACACAGTACAGCTGGCCAAGACAGGACTGGCACCTGAATCCTGTCTGGTCCTGCTGTAAAGGAAGGGACATTAATGAGAGCTGAGGGGAGCACAGGTATAATACAGCTGTGAAAGACTTCAAGGCTCAGTCTAGGACCCATCAAAACTGGAGTCTTCATATTGTCCTCACCCACCCAAAGCAATAGTGTAAAAAGGATATGAAAAGGAAATTTAGCACAGAGAAGAAAATAGAAACTGGATATAAAAAAGGACTCTGAGTACTGCACTTCGTGTTTTTGGGCCAGACTGGCAACATCTTCTCATTAGAATCATAGACTCATTTAGCCTGGAAAGGACCCTTAAGATCATGGAGTCCAACTGTTAACCACCATCACCAAGTCCACCACTAAACCATGTCTGCCTCTCCTTCCTTGCCTATCCCTCCTGAAGAGTTTATAGCCATCTGTTGCAGCACTCCAGTTGTATGAGTCATTCCACCATGTTTCCATGATTGCAGTTACATCATGTTTTTCCAGCTGCACAATGGCTTCCAACTCCTCCTGTGGGTTGCCCATGCTGCATGCATTGGTGTAGATACACTTCAGTTGGGCTATTGATCCTGCCACCTTTTTGTGGGGAGAAGCCCTATTTCCAATGTGACTGTTCTCAGGTGCTTCCATGGTTTCTAATGTATCAACAACCTTTGTGTCTTTGCTGCCACATGGATCTTCATCCCCTACCACCACTGAGATGACCAAGGTGCTGCGAGCGTTAGTTTAGAGACATGTAAAATGTGCTCCATTATACTCAGCTCATCATGGAACAGACTGAAGGACTCACTAGCACACCGTCCCTCAAACAGTGGCATGCTGCCCCATGGCTTACCACTAGCAAGCCTGGTTTTATCCTTTTCCCCCTTCAAATCTCATTTAAGCTCTTTCAATGAGCCCTGCTAACTGCTGTGCAAAGATCCTTTTCCCTCTTTGAGAAAGGTGTACCCCATCTGTCACTAGCAGGCCTGATGTTGTGTAGACCAGCCTACAGGTTGGACTTAGATGCAGTAAGGACTTAGATGCAGTAAGAAATGCATCATTCACATCATGCCCTCCCTGAGGGGACTGCAGGTGAGATAGTGTCACTGTTAAACCACTCATTCTGTCCCAGCTGCTCCTTGGAAGTCTTTCAGAGCAGCTTTGTCTTGCTCCTCAGCCGCTTTTCCCAATGTATCCAAGATTTCCTTGCTCTGCCCTGTACAGTCCCCCTTGTTGTCTGGCTCTGCCCAGATTTGCTTTTTGCAACCCTGCATCGGGCACATGCTATCGCTGTGTTGGCAGGGCCAGTGGGGCTGGGTGGCACAGGTAAATAGATTCCATGGGCAAATAACTGAGTGACTGCCCATCAAAACCAAACCCTGACCAAACCAGTCCAACCTTGAAAATAATTTTTGCTTGGGGAAGGCACTGAATTTGAGCATTTATTGTTTTTATTATCCTACTCTTCATTACAGGCACAACACTTTAAATGTTCATGTGATTTTTCCATGCTTCTGGCTGGAAAGCAATCTGAAGACATTTAAATATTTTGGTGGGAACCTGTAGAAATGTCATTCAAGCCATGCTACTGTCAAGCAATGCAAAGGAAGGATGCTACCTTGTGACAGATGAGGGAAATCAGGCTTCTTTATTTCTACAAGCTTAAAAAGGACTGTAGACCTGTGTGTAGAAGAAACAAGTAAGTATATCCCAGCTAAGCAAGACAAAGCTACCCTTAAGCGATGGCACAAAAGTTCAATGGGATAATCACATTAACATTACTGAGCTAGCCATGCATATGAAGCACAATACAGCTCCTATTTCCTATTTGTCTGCATTATGAATCTAAAATATTCATATTTTATTGTCCTGCGTTGACAGCAAACTGTTAGAACCGAAGAATGGTTGGCTTTCTGTCTGGAGTTTCATGTCTTATTTAGTGCAAGCTTGAACAGCAAGCAGAATTAATCAGGTTCTCAACTCTAGTTTAACTCCAAGGTTATTCACAGTAGTAGTCCTTAAATAGAGCTGGGGATGGGAGTCTGGTATCCTTTCCATTGACTTGGATATGTATATTCCACCTGCTCAAAAAATCCTAAGGGAATCGAGCACTCAACTCTTGTGCAATTTCAGTAGGATTTTGAAATTTAACCTATTTAATGCCTCTCTGAAAAGGCTAGATTCAAGCTAAGATGAGCATCTGGCTGAAGCCCGCTCTAATCTCACAGTGCCTTTCAGCCCTGTGCCGGTGCTGCTGGCACCTACTGGAACAGATGCAGTCCCCACCCAGTGCTACTGGAAAGCAGGCAGTGGGGAATATCAGCTTGGAACAAAACATCAGATGTATCTGAAACACTATTCGTGCGTTAACAACCTTTGGTATTTCCCTGCATGTTTGTAAAGGACAGTCATCCAAAGACCAGCAATGCAGCATGTTCTTTGTGCAACATCCCGGTCTGAGGGCCTGATGGAAAACCCAGGGGAACTTCTGCACTGCCTTCCTGGGTTTTGACTCAGGAAGCAGCAGTTTCCCCCACCACCGCTCCCCCAGGCACTAGCTGCTGTGGCTCCCTGTCAGCGCCGAGGGAGAGAAGCCGGGTGGGCTCTCTGTGGAAAGGGCTGCCCTGATGTCATACACGCCTGTCCCCGAGCACGGGTGACCACAGGGAGCGTGGCGGCTGCCTCCTTTCACAGGGAATTACAGAAAGCAGCGTTGCCTCAAGAACTCAGCGCGGCGAAGGGCCCAGAGCAACCCACCACGCTGCCTGGCATACCTGCCAAAAGGAAGCTGTAATGAAAACAAGTGGCTTTCAATAAAGTCTGTGCATTCACTTGGAAATAACGAAAGCAAGCACAAAGCAGCTCAGGAGCCCTTCTCAGGCTGTGTGTGGCTGCTCCCTATGGTCACACTGTCACCAGTCTCCCCTAGAATGGGGCCCATCTGACCACAACAATCTGCTGCAAGGTGTCGTTGCAGCCCACAGAGAACTGAGTGCTAAGGGACTCCAGTAAAATAAATGACTCTTAAAAAAAAAGATAGGGAGTTATTTTAATTGTTTTCCAGTTGCTAAATGCTTTTGGAAGCTGCTTTTCCTCCACAACTTTGCAGAGCTGTTGCTCACTTCAAGTGAGGAAGAAACTCCTGCTCTGGTGGTCTTCATGGAGCATCCATCCCCTCTGTCTCCTCCACAAAAGCAGGAGCAGCATGGGCTCTTCAGCCCATGTTTTCCGTGGGAGTTTGTGCCACACTGGATCCCCTGGGAACAGGCTGCAGACTTAGTGCACAACTTCAGTGTGAAGTCATGCAGTCGTGACTATTGGCAAATGCCTTCAACCCACAGTCTTCACTGTTCTTCCTTTACCTTTTCTTAGTTTGCAACAAGTGACGCTAGAAGAGAGGGGGAGGAAAAAAGATTATTTCTGTGAA